TGGCACCGCTGTCATTTCCACACTCACTCACTATATATTTGCACCCTGTTGTTCTCCTCTGTTACCGGAAATTCCTTCCATTTCCTCTACATGAAATGTCTCTACCAGACCCATTTTCTCGGCATCCCCAAAGGGTGCATCTTAGACACAGCCCAAAGCAACTAGTGTGCCATCGGTATTCAATCACTGTTTACGCAGGGCAGCAGGACCGGAAGGCAGATGTGTGTAACAGGCTACAGACCAGAAGCTAGATGAAACTTGGCTACTAATAGCCGTGGGACCTTAAGCATTAGACTGAACTCAGTTTTCAACACCTGAAAATCAAGAGTGAGACGAAATTTGTTTACAGAGTCATTTTTCTCTCCTTCTCCACTAGAATATAAACTTCCTGTCACCCTCACTCCTGATGCACTAAAGATTCACCTAGAAGAATAAAGACATGAGCCAGGAACACTGAGAAAAATAAGATGGTACCAAAGCAACCGATACACCAACGAAACAAAATCCAGAGTCCAGACACAGACCAAAGTGCATGTGAGTTTAATGTAAGTGAAGGGCACAAGTTCAATGTTCCAGGCAGAACAATGGTGTGAACGAGGGAGGACCCTGCTCTGACACATGACTGTACACAGAAGCCACCGATAAGATTAATAAATTGAACTAAAAATAATTTTTAACAACAACAAGTAAAACAAAAAATGTGTAGGTTGACTGCTATTTACAGAAGAATTAAAAAGTCCAAATACAAAGATGCTCAACCTCCATAATAATTCATGAAAATCTTTCCTGATCAGCTCAGCCAAGTTTTAAGAAATCCCTATGGCCCACAGTGAATGCATCTGACCCCAGTGGGATGACTGGTGCAAAGCGGAGCAGAACAAACAACAGGAAGGCGTGCTGACCAGGAGGGGAAGAACTGGAATCCTGTGCACTGTTAGGAGGAGGGTAACATGGAGCAGCCGCTGTGGCAATCAGCATGATGGTTCCTCAAAAAATTAAAAAACCAGCATTAGCAAACCAGGGACACCCCTCTTCTGGATGCACACCCAAGACAACGGAAAGCAGGGTCTGGAGAGATGTTTGCACACCCATGTTCATGGCTGCATGACTCACAGCAGCCAAAAGGAAAAGCCACGCAAGTGCCCATCAACGAATGACAGACAAAACGTGGCCGCCCCACATGACAGGGATTACCCCGCGAAAATGAAGGAAGCCGAAACAGGTGTTGCTCAGTGGATAGAGCGTCAGTCTGCAGACTGAGGGGTCTCAGGTTCGATTCCGGTCAAGGGCATGTACATTGGTTGCAGGCACATCCCCAGTGGGAGGTGTGCAGGAGGCAGCTGGTCGATGATTCTCTCTCATCGACATTTCTAGCTCTCTATCCCTCTCATTTCCTCTCTGTAAAAAATCAATAAAATATATATATATATATATATATATATATTTAAAGAAAGAAAAAAAAAAGGGCCACTGATAGGCCTCTGAGCCTCAGAGAGCCTCTGAGCAGCAGGCGCGGAGTGTCCTGGCCCTGCAGAGAGCTACAGGCGCACAGATTCGTGTGCAGGGCTGCTAGTGAAATATAATTGTAAAAAAATTTTTTAGAGAAAATAAATACAGTATTAGGGAGGTTCTGGAAAAGAGAGACACTCATCTTTAGACAAAAGATGGAAAAATCCATAAAATTTAAATGCATGCACCATTTGACCACTCCAAGGATGCTCTCTGCAGCGCTGTTTACTAGTAGAAATGCTTAAAACTATGAAACACCCACATTATCTTATATAATGAGAGAGGAAGATACTAATGATCCATTACGCCAGATCATGAATCTGCAGGAGGGTGGGACAGCGAACTACCAGCTACAGGAGGGGGCAGGGCAGCAAGCTATGAGGGCGGAGCGGTGGGCAGAGAGCTCCGTGAGGGTGGGGCAGAGGCTACGGGCAGCGGAGAGCTACCAGCGGCAGTGGGTGGGTGGCCAGCTGAGGCAAGCAGCAGCAAGCTCCTAGGCATCTGTCCAAAGAGTTGAAAACTGTCCACAAACTTTTGTCCACGTAAAAACCTGCACAGATGTTTACAGCAGCTTCAATCATGTGTGCCCTTGAAAAGATAAACTATGCTACATCTGGACAATGGAACATGGTACAGCACTGAAAGAAAATGAGCTATACACCCATGAAAAGACATGGAAGAACCTCAAATGTACATCATTACTGAGTCAAAGCAGCCAATCTGAAAAAGGCTACACATGCTGTCTGAAGCCTGGAAAGGGCACAGTTCTGGAGCCGGTGAAAGAGCAGTGGCAGCCAGCAGACGGGGCTGGGAGGCCTGAGGGGCAGAGCACAGAGGACTCCGGAGGCTACCATGGTGGCAGCTGGCATCCACTTTCAGAACTGATAGGGCACCTTTGTAGTCAGTTTGGCTTCCCTAAATTCTTATAGAAATTCAAGCCCTGCTGAGCGGGGAGCAGCCTCAGGCCCCCTGCCCAGGCCAGGCGCCACAAAGTCTGGGTCCCTGCGATTGCTAATTAAGGCTTGTTACAGGAACTCAGCCTCTGCTGTAGGTGCAGCCATCTTGAGTTATGGACCTTCTACCTCTGCTGTGGGTGCTGCCATCTTTGTTGCGGTGTGACAGTCAATTTGCATATTCCCTCTTTGTTAGATTAGATATAAACTAGAAGCTCAGTGCATGAAATTGGTGCATGGGGGAGGGAGGAGTGTCCACCAGCCTGCATGCACCCTCTTGCAATCCCAGACTGCTGGCTCGTAACTGCCTGATTGCCTTGCCTGCCTGCCTGCCTGATAGCCCCTAACTGCCCGCCTGCCTGCCTGATCAACCCTAACCACTTGCCTGCCTGCTTGATCGCCCCTAACCACCTCTGCCTTGCCCCACCTCTGCGGCTTCATCCGGAAGGATGTCCAGAATGACATCAGGATGGTCACTTGGCTGTCTGGTCTAATTAACATGTTATACTTTTATTATTATAGATTATTATTGCTAAATTTAGCATCAATAAGAGCAGTTCAGTTTCCCATGTTCCAGGGAAGGTATTATATCAAAAAGGATCCTTCTTGACCAAAACTAAACATCTTTCTTTTTTAATATATTTTATTGATTTTTTTACAGAGAGGAAGAGAGAGAGATAGAGAATTAGAAACATTGATGAGAGAGAAATATTGATTAGCTACCTCCTGCACACCCCCACTGAGGATGTGCCTGCAACCAAGGTACATACCCTTGACCAGAATCAAACCCGGGACCTCTCAGTCCGCAGGCCGACGCTCTATCCCCTGAGCCAAACCGGTTTCAGCCTTAACCGTTTTCTAATGAGCACTCACCACCGTTGCCTGTTTTACAGAATGGACTATTACCCTTTTATATTGGTCAAAGAGCCTTTTGAAAATCCAATGTCATTTCTCCAGAAAATGCATGTTTGCCCAAAAATTTTGCATGTGATTTCCAAGTTCACAAGTTCCCATTTATTCCATCCAGACCCCCACTAAAAATTCTCAAAGGAAATTTAGTTTTTCTTTAAAAAAAAAATTTTTTTTTTGTTTATTTCGGAAAGGAAGAGGGAGAGATAGAAATATCAATGATGAGAGAGAACCACTGATTGGATGCCTTCTGCATGCCCCTTACTGGGGATCAAGCCTGCAACCCAGGCAGGTGCCCTGGCCAGGAACAGAACCAAGAACCCTATCCACTCAGCAGAACCAACTAGGGCAGAAATTTAGTTTTCCTTCTCTTTTTTTAAGTTATGAAGAAGAAGAAGAAAAAAAAACTTTGAAAATGGCAAGGTCTGGTAATATATCAGATATAAAATTATTTTTGAATGGTTTCTTTTGAGCAAAAGGGACAGAAAATCTGAAAAAGCAAACTCTGAAAATACAATTAATATTACTAATAGCTTTAGGTCCCCTACCTCCCCCTCTCCCCATATAAATCCAAAGTAGCCCAGAATATTCATCCTAATAAGATTTTAAACACATGAAACAAACAGCAATTCCAACGTTTTGCTTGTAGCTAGGCTTAAGTCTTGTATTACAATGCTCATTCCAAAATCACCCACTGACCTTTGTAATCTTTCAAACTAGAAATCTGTTCACCTCTCCATCTTTATAACCCTACACACTCCCGGCTTTGGAGCTATACATGGCTTTATAATGTGCCTCCCCCGCTGGCCTTTCCTCTTACTTCAGTATTAGCTTGTACAGCATTTTGAAAAAAGCAAATTGTGAAACCACAGGTTACAAATCTTTCAATCATCATGACAGGATACAGTAAAGAAATATACTTTCAAACTCTTAAAATTATTTTTAAAATGTCAGAGAATTGTCATATGTAGGGAGTTTCAGCTACAAAACTTATTTAAAACTTTGCATTACCGTATTTTTCGGACCATAAGACGCACTTTTCCCCCCCCAGAAGTGGGGGGGGAAAGTCCCTGCGTCTTATGGTCCAAATATAGCCTAAACATACACTTTTAAAAAAAAGTTTTTTTACTTGCCCGGCTCTGTGTGGTCTCTGTGTGCTTGCCCGGCTCTAAAATGGTTCTAAATGCTGCTGTTTACTTTACAGGGTTGATTACATGTGTTTATGACTGTGATGTTGGGTTTTAATGCACATAAAATATTTTAGGACACTATTTGTTTCAGAATCTTTTTTTCTTCATTTCCCTTCTCTAAAAACTGGTGCGTCTTATGGTCCGGTGCGTCTTATGGTCCGAAAAATACGGTAAGTAAGAAGGTGACCGGTTTAGCTCAGTGGTAGAGCGTCGGTCTGCGGACTGAAGGGTCCCGGGTTCGATTCCCGTCAAGGGCATGTACATTGGTTGCGGGCACATCCCCGGTGGGGGGGGTGCAGGAGGCAGCTGGTCGATGTTTCTGTCTCATTGACGTTTCTAGCTCTCTATCCCTCTCCCTTCCTCTCTGTAAAAAATAAATAAAATATATTTTTTTTAAAAAAAGTAATAAGGTGAAAAACAAAGGTGCTTTAAAACTTACGTTTTGCTTCTGATAGATTCTGATTAGGTGACCAGACCAGCATCCCAAGATTGTCTCGTTCTTGACTGCGTCTTGCTAATTTGGCTTGGGAGAAATAAAAAGAGAGAATGCTTGTTGTAATTTAACAGACATGTGAAGAATGATCAACACGACTCTGATCTTGAAACTCAGAACCTGATGCCATCGCCCAACCTGGACTGAAACGCGCCCAATAGAGCCTGCACACTCACCGCCACCACAGGGCAGCGGGGACGTGGGCAGGCTCCGAATCCCCGGAAACACTCCTAAGTCTTTCCCTACGTCATCCCTGCTTAACAAGCAGGTGTAATGATCATCTTCATCCCAAACAGGTCACTTGGCTGGAAGGACCGAGTCAGGACGGAACTCAGACTGGCTCGGCACTCCAGGCTTAAATTAAAGCACTGTACACGAGGATGCTGTTTTCAGACTTGGGACATCCAAAAGGGAAGCTGCCCCAAGATTTTCTTAAAACAAGAATCCTTCCGAGCCGCGGGCTCACGCCCCACTAGTCCCGACCGAGAGAGGCCGGAGGCTCCGCTGAGCGGCGCTCAGCAGCTGTGAGCCCTGCATCTGGTGCCCTCCTGAGAGGAGTGCCGTGTGGGATCGGGCCAAAACCAGCTCTCCAACATCCCCTGAGGGGTCCCAGGTGCAGGCCAGGTTGAGGGACCCCACCAGTGCATGATTGGTGCTGGGAAGGGAGTGTGGGAGGGCTCCAGGGCGAGTCTGGCCCCTTTTGGCCCAGTTCCCATCAGTCAGACCCCAGCAGCAAGCCAACCTACTGGTCAGAGGGTCTGCCCCCTGGTGGTCAGTGCTCATCATAGCAAGTGGTTGAGCAGTCTTACCATATCATTATTATACTATGCTTTGATTGGCTGAACAGTTGTCCGGTCACCGGATGACAGGACACTTAGCATATCAGGCAGGCTTTTATTATATAGGATAACTTATTAAAAAGATTTAATTTGAAAGGAAACTTCTGAAATGCATTCAAATTCTTAAAAATATGTGATACAAAACAAATAGGCCCACAGGTGTACAAGTGCCAGAAGAAAGAAGGAAATCTTGCTATTTATGACAACAGAAATGGATTGGGGGGGAGGGGGAGATTTGCTATGTGAAATAAGTCAATAAGTCAGACAGAGAAAAATAAATACCATATGATCTTGCTAATATATGGAATCTAAAAAAGAAAATAAAGAAACAAACTCACAGATACAGAGACTATTTTGATAGTTGAAACATGGAAGGGGGTTTGGGGAAGAGATTAAGAAGTACAAATTAAAAAAAAAAGTACAAATTGCCAGTTATAAAAACAGTCACAGGGATGTAAAGTACAGCATAGGGCACATGTGTCAAACACAAGGCCCGCGGGCCAAATCCATCCCGCCAGGCCTTGCAATGTGGCCCACACCGCACTGTCATCACTGCACTCTGCTGCGTTTCCATCACAATGACAGTTTATGACTGTTCAGTAAACCATTTGGCCCGCGATTTAGGCTGGATTTTAGATTTTGGCCCCTTCTCTGATTGAGTTCGACACCCCTAGCATAGGGAATATAGTCAATAGTATTAAAGTAACTACTAGAGTGGCAAGAAATAGTCAAAGTGATGAATAGCAAGAACCTACAACCAAGAATACTCTATCCAGCCAAGCTGACATTCAGAATTGAAGGTCAACTAAAAAGCTCACAGATAAGAAAAAGCTAAAGGAGTTCACCACCACCAAAGCAGTATTATTATATGATATATGAAATGCTAAAAGGTATTCTCTAAGAAGAGAAAGAAGAAAAAGGTAAAGATAAAAATTATGGCCAAAACCGGTTTGGCTCAGTGGATAGAGCATCGGCCTGTGAACTGAAAGGTCCCAGGTTCAATTCCGGTCAAGGGCATGTACCTTGGTTGAGGGCACATCTCCAGTGGGGGGTGTGCAAGAGGCAGCTGATCGATGACTCTCTCTCATCGATGTTTCTAACTCTCTATCCCTCTCTCTTCTTCTTTGTTTAAAATCAATAAAATATATATTTTTTAAAAAAGATAAAAATTATGAACAAAGACATATCTATCAACAAGTAAATCTAAAAATCAAGTGAATTAATCTGATGTACAAACCAATGGGCACAAAACTCTGGGGAGGGAGGGTATGTATGGGGGGGTAATCTTAAAATATGTACACAGATAATAATTTAATAAAAAAAAATTTTAATAATAAAAATAAATAAAATAAAAATCTGATGTACAGCCGAAACCGGTTTGGCTCAGTGGATAGAGCGTCGGTCTGCGGACTCAAGGGTCCCGGGTTCGATTCCAGTCAAGGGCATGTACCTTGGTTGAGGGTACATCCCCAGTGTGGGGTGTGCAAGAGGCAGCTGATGGATGATTCTCTCTCATCGATGTTTCTAACTCTCTATCCCTCTCTCCTCTCTGTAAAAAAAATAAAAAATATATATTTTTAATAAATAAATAAAAAATAAAAACCTGCCGAGGCCAGTTTGGCTCAGTGGATAGAGCGTCGGCTTGCAGACTGGAAGGTCCCAGGTTCGATTCTGGTCAAGGGCATGTACCTTGGTTGCGGGCACATCCCCAGTAGGGGGTGTGCAAGAGGCGGCTGATCGATGACTCGCATCGATATTTCTAGCTCTCTATCCCTCTCCTTCCTCTCTGTAAAAAATCAATAAAATATATTTTTAAATAGATAAATAAAAAATAAAAACCTGATGTACAGAATAAACTGGTGACTATAAAGAATAAGGGGCACAGAAAAGGAGTGGACTGAAAATTCTCAGGGGGGAAGAGAGGTGGGGCGTTGGGAAGAGACTGGACAAAAATTGTACACCTATGGATGAGGACAGTGCGAGTGGGGGGTAAGGGAAGAGGGTGGGATGGAAACCAGGTGGAGGGGAGTTATGGGGGGGGGGGGAGAGAGGAACAACTGTAATAAACTGAACAATAAAGATTTGTTAAATTTTAAATAAATAAATAAATAAAATAACTACTAGAGGCCTGGTACACAAAATTCATTCATGGGTGGGGGGTCCCCTCAGCCCAGCCTGCACCCAATCCAATCTGAAATCCCTCTCACAATCTAGGACTGCTGGCTCCCAACCAACCGCTTGCTTGCCTGCCTGCCTGCCTGTCTGCCTGACTACCCCTAACCATTTCTACCTGCCAGCCTGATCACCCCCTAACCACTTCCCTGACAGCCTGATTGACACCTAACTGCTCCTCTGCCAACCCAATTGTCCCTAACTGCCCTCCCCTGCCAGCCTGGTCCCCACTAACTATCCTCCCCTGCAGGCTTGGTTCCCCGCCTCCCCCGCAACTGCCCTTCCTTACAGGCCTGGTCCCTCCCAACTGCCATCCCCTGCTGGCCTGATCACCCACAACTTCCCTCCCCTGCCAGCCATCTTGTGGAGGCCATCTTGTGTCCACATGGGGGTGTCCATCTTGTGTGTTGGAGTAATGGTCAATTTGCATATTACCCCTTTATCATATAGGATGGTGTCAGGTGGGTACTAGACTTATTGGGGTGATAACTTTGTAAATTATTAGGTCTAGTAATAATTAATGTCGTTTTCTAATACTTTTTTAAATCGGATTTATTTAAACAATACAACAAAATTTAATCAACAATATAGTTACCGTTGTTTTCTACTACTTGTGCCCAACGCTCAGGAAGCATTTTAATCCCTCTGTTGTAAAATTCTTGTGATTTTGATGCAAAAAATTCGGTCAATGCATTTTTGAGGCATTCTTCATTATTAAATTTTTTTCCAAGCAGAAAGTTTTGCAAAGAACGAAACAAATGGTAATCGGAAGGGGCAATATCAGGAGAATATGCAGGCTGAAGGAGAACTTCCCATTCCAACTGGCGCAGTTTTTCAGCAGTGATTCTTGCAGTATGCGGTTGTGCGTTATCGTGGTGAAGAATTAAGCCCTTCCGATTAATCAGCGCGGGTTCTTTTTCTCTTAAAGCTTGGGCTAACCTTTCCAATTGGGCACTATACACTGCACTTGTAATGGTTTGGGTAGATGGTAAAAGTTCATAATGAAGAATTCCTTTAAAATTCCACCAAACACACATCACTTTTTTCACATGCAAGTCAGGTTTTGGCGTGGGCTGTGGAGCCTCATTTTTGTCCAACCATTGAGGCCGCCTTTTCAAATTAACATACAGCACCCATTCTTCATCTCCGGTAACAATTTGCTCTAAAAACGGCAAACGGTTTTGACGAGAGAGGAGCGAACTGCAAATTGTGACTCTTTGATTACGGTTGTTGTCGGTCAACTCATGAGGAACCCATTTTCCAAACTTTTGGACTTTGCCAAGTGCACGCAATTGATTGGAAATTGTTTTTTGTGAACAATTTAAAGTTGTCGCAAGCTCTTGTTGGGTAATTTGAGGATTTTGCACCAAAAGAGCTTGAAGAGCTTCTTGATCAAAATTGGACACATGGCCTCGCCCACTCTTGTCATCTAACGAAAAATTTCCCTCGCGAAATTTCTCAAACCAACGCTGGCATTTTCTGGCGCTAACTGCATCTTGACCAAGAGCACTGCAGATGTTTTTTGCAGCCTCACTTGCTTTTCTTCCTAATTGGAACTCGTAAAGCATGCAGTGCCGAATATGCTCTTCATCCGCCATCTTCTTAGCCCTAGTTTTGCAACAAAAACCAAACCAAACACAAACTTTTTCAAGCAAAACTTGTTAATTGCACTTCACACGTTCTGTAGATACCACGTGTTTGAAGGTTATGTCAATACAAGTCAACGCCAAGCAAGATTTTAAACGAATGTTTAAAAACGACATTAATTATTACTAGACCAGATATATAAATGTTGTACATATACCCAAAAGTAACGTAATAGTGTATGTCAACTGTGGTTGAAAATTATTTAAAGTTTTCATTTGGGTTGCAAATTAAAATAAAGGCTGACAACACCAAGGTGTAGCAATCATGTGGGGGAACTGGAACTCTCACGCACTGCGGTGAGAATGTAACATGATACTATCACTGGGGGGAAAGTCTGGCAACCTCCTAAAATGTGGTATGTCCATACCATGG